AGGCACCCCAAACACCAGTAGTCACTGGCATCAGCGTGATAGCGACTCCACCCAATTGGCAAAGGGAGGCAAGTTCATTTTGAGATACTTAGTCTCTTGCAGAATCTCAAGATCATCCCTGAGCTGACCCTATGCCCTCGCCTGGCCAAGGAAAGAGGCAGGACGGCTCGACATGGGCAACGGCCCATCAAATCCGCCAAAGACGTCCAGGCTGGCTGGCCTGCTCCAGGGTTTCGTTTCCGCCCATGAGGCCTAGGGTTAGAAGCTCCTACGGTTCAACGATAAGCCGGTGAGAATGATGACTACTTCTGCCTAAGCTGATGTCTACACGCCAGACCATCATGTAAAAGTTTCGGGGTTCCAGTACACAGGTCACGCAGGGATTGCAATCTCAACAATGATGTGGAGACTAGGCGAGATGCTGAGAGCTGGCAGTGTTTGGAGGGGTGTTGGGTTTGACACCCTACTGTACAGGCCAAGAAAAGGCAGCGCCCAATACTGGTACCAGAACTCCCAGAAAGCCAGCTACGGTTTTGTACGGGCCTTCACTACTGGAAAATGTCGCAGCAGCAGTCAAAGTATCACGTACAGCGAAAGCATCGCTTCATGCAGGGAAATCTCCATATGGTCCGCATGGTAGCTGGACGTCTCCGAACATGCCCTGAGGGATCCTTACATCACCGATGCACAGCGATCCTGACATGCGCCCTCTAGCTCCATTGTGGAAAGCCAACTGGCCTCGGGCGCGGACCAAACTCCGGCAACCATGGCTCAAGATGGTGCGGCATTGATGCTTGCGTGAGACTGGTAGAGTCGAGTTTTCAACACGAACTTTTATGGTCGAGAGATGCACCACACCGCGCTTTTTTCTGCTGCAGATGTGCAGCGCAGGAGTAACAGCGAATAGCTTGCGGCCCGCCACTTAACTCCATACCTCTCAAGACCTTGCCATGGATGTTGTAGGGAGGAGTGCCTTGCAGTGTCAAGCTCTGACAGATGAATCAGCCCGGCTCATTCGCCCACATCTTTGAGCTGCGTGGCAAAAGCGACAGCGGCTGAAAATCTGGAGCTCCTAGCCCAGCTTATGGCGCGGATGGCACTTGCCAAGGCAGCTTCCTAACCAGCCCTAAATTGAAGGAAGGAAGCAATGCCTTTGGCTTGGGATCCGACGCGGTAGACCATCGCGTAGAAGCCGTAATTCACCCCGTGCCTGCACGATGGCGCAAAACTCGCCGTGCTCACAGATTGTCCCGGTTTGGCATGGGGGGAAAGGTGAAGCCCGAGCGGGGCAGGTGTTTCTGGCAATGCGCAGTGCAGAGAGAGAGTTCGGTGGGGAAGGTTCAGATGTAATCTGAGACTCCATATCCGGTGGCAAGCTCCCAAAGCAGAGACTGAGCGCGTCTTATCCACTGTGGTTTTCTCGGCAGCCTGCACATCTCTTCTGGCTCGTTTGCATCCGGCTGCACGCGCGTGAGATGCCTCATGAGCACTGAAAAATTAGGATGAAATGACATGGCGTCCGAGCACTTTGTAGTATACCGAAGAAGGGTGTAAGTTTACGGATGATACTGAATGATCCTAGCAGCAATTGTTCATCTGTTCCTTCAGGGCACAGTGAGGCAGGAATCTACGTTTAGCATGCGAATTTAGGGGTTTGACCCAGACCCTCTTCTAGATGTGAGGACGCGGTCCTGGTGAGAAGGAAGCAGACCTATGCAGACCGACCCGCAATCAGGTTACAATACCATGCGGTTCTTCTGTGCAGGCAGGCTGCGGAGAGATGCAAACACCATAGGGGCACTGTGAGCGAAGGGAGATCACCTCCCAGTCGCACGGCGCCTGCGAGCCGGAATCTTCTTCAATTTGACTGCATGTGGCCTTGTGTGGAAAATGGATAGTTTACCAGGATAATCCCGCGAGTGAAGGTGCAGATTCCAGGATGAGAGGTGAAATCAGAATTTGGCTGGTGAGACACCAGCTGTCTGTGAAACATCATCCCAGAACCAAAGGCAAAGCAAACACGGCGGACACGCACTAGCAAAGTCTAACTGCCTATGAGGTCTAGCCAAGATCTCAAACCAAGAGGTCCTCCTACACGGCTACCCAACGCAACTTGAGAGTGTCCGGAGGTCTTTGCCCTCCAGCTAGCTGGGTGCTGCTGCAAATTGCAATCGAAGGCCGTGGGTTTAACATTAAATTCCTGGAGCACATCTCTTGCGCGCAAGCCCTGCGCGATGGAACGCTCTGTCACGCCTTAGCGTGAATGAACATCAACAATTCTTAGCTTTCCACAAACACCGCGAAGATCCATACAGTTTTATTGCCGTCACACCAAAGGCCTCATTTCGGGCTTTCCAGAAAAGGCATGATGACCCAGTTTATTTGCCTGGTCCAGATCCACCCTCCGGGGATCTACAAAAACAGTGAAAGACGTACAATTCGAAGCCAGGTGTAGTCAGAGACTCATCTTAAGTAGGATGCTTATTGCTGCCATTGCCTAGAACACAGCCCATGTACACTCATGCGCGCTTCCTGAGGAAAGGTCGTTTACACCTTCTGGGGTAATGCACCCACACATTACACAATCCGCAAAACTCATCAACACCTCGGGTTTTATGTACTCTCAATATGAATGTAGCCCCAAAGTCAATGCCAATATAACCACAAAGTAGAACAAACCTATAGACTAGACACCAGATGGTAGTTTCCCTGAATAGGGGGACCCCAATATAAACCCCAAAATACTATAACCATTCTTCTGGGTACCGCCAGAAAGTACCCCCAAGTTTTGGGAAACTCTAACGCCCATGAATCCCTATTAACCCCTCTATCATCCCAGTTTCCATTTTATTTTCCATGTTCTTCTCCAGTTGTTTCTCCATATTGGGGGTTATATGGTACCCCTAATTTTAGGAAACCACCAATTTAGGCCCCAATATACCGTATAGTCATATGGTAGTTTCCATTTTATTTTCCACGATCCCTATACAACCCCAAACCCTAAACCACTCCCAAAATGGTACCCCTAACTTTGGGAAACCCTAGATTAGAAGGCGGAGGCGTTGGGCTTTGACCTCGCTGCGGAGCAGACGGCGAAGTTTGAGCTTGAAATCTTCCTGCTCCAGGGCACTGGATGTAAGATAGGGGGCTTCAGCGATCAATTTGGGATTCCTAGTGGGCATTGCATGGGTTCTTGCTGAAAAGTCGAGGCCCCCAGTAAAGATCCAGCATTGAGAAACCTCATACAAGGCTACGCAGGAATGGCTATACTCCAAGCTACTATAGTATGCTACAATATACTATAATTTACTATTATACACTGGAATATACTATACAGCATAATATGATATAGAAGCTTTTTTAGGCTCAGCTGGGGCTCATCTTGCCTGCAAATCCACGTCGTCCTCCAGGATGAGGACGAGAGGCCTCAAAGCCAACACGAGGCTTCTGAAAATCGTAGGTCGCTCCTAGTGTGCAGTATACAGCGGGAATAGCAAGAGTCTATGTAGATTGCTGAGGAACCTGCTAAGGATACAAAGGAGCTTCTCAGCAGCCAAGATTTGGTGGTATTTCTCAAAAGGATTCTTCAATTTTGCGGGTGTATTGGGTGACCGTGTGTGATGAGACCTGCACATGTTGCCCTTGAATCCTACGAGCCAATATCAAAACGGCTGTGTCACGTCAAGCATAGTGTGTACAGCGCTGCGAAACTAGCAAATCGACGCAATCTACGCACTGACTTGTGCGGCATGTTTCTTGGGTACGCTGTTGTACGCAGAACATTTCCAATTTTTCTTTGGGGGTGCCCATAGTTAGTGTTGCTTGCTGTCCAGGCTTCTACATCTCATCCCCACATGCCCTTGGCTTTTGGCTTCCCAAGGCGGTGAGCATTGCTCGCGGCCTGAGCATGCAAGGAAGCTACATAGTGTGTATGAAAGAAGAAAGAGTTCGAATGCTGCGCCCGGTAGCCAATGTCCAAGCAATTGCAGACTGATATGACCATTATGATCACTGCTATGCCGGTGCAGGAATTGCGCTGCGCACAACAGCTTTTTGTCATGCAAGAGCCCAGGTGGCTGCCTGCCACATGGCGCGAAGGTGCGCTGCTGCCTCAAGTGAACTGCCGGCATTGCAGGCAAGCATGCAGGCTTAAGGACAACATGATATACCCACAGCCCGGTGATGGCACACCCTCCACAATCAAACTCTGAAGGCTCGAGTTTCTTATTTCCAAGCTCCGGCCATGCACACTCTTCATATCATTGCTCCGCCATGTGAGAGGGCGTGGCTGGTGCAGTTTTTGCATGCAACACAAGAAGCTGGGCTGCCACGAGGCGACTTTCTCTTCCCTAGATGGTTCGCTACAAACTTCCTGGCAGCTTCGCATCTCCCGGCTACTGCTCAGATGTGCTAAGGTAGCGTCGCACCCGACGGTCCCGCGCCCATAGTTGTCAAGATACCTGCTCCGGGTCAGGGAACTGTAACCGTGGAAGCAGGGTGGGCATCTAGTTGAGCACAGGAAGCCGTAGCTGACTGGAAACGCTTTGGACAAAGCTGTCTCACAAGATGCTGACACCCAAGCAGCACAACGGAAGTGCCTCCAACATGAATGACGTCTGGACAGATCCGGTAATTGCGGGACACTCAAGAAAAGAAAGGCCTCTAGTGGGGCCTCTAGATTTCAGTGGGGATGCATCTAGCTAAGAGCCCAGATGTGAGCGCCCATCTAATCCTGCTTTCAGGATTTCACCTGAATTTCCACACATAGTTGTTGCATGCCAAAAACGATGCTTGGATTCCCGATTTGCCTTCACTTGGCAGCAATCCGTGCTGGCCAGCTTGGGGGTCTAAGCCGCTACAGTATGGCAATGGTTTCAACCCTTGGGACCATAAGCGGGACAATCATTTTGTGGGGTGCCTTTGAAAATGAAAACTACCAAACCTTTGGGTAAGTATCCAAGGTTCTGAGCTGCTTAACTTAGAGAACTCCCTGAAGGCTCCTCAGCGCTGCAGCTTTGCTGCTGTTCTTCAAAAGCCTGTCACTGTCGTGATTGAGGGGCTCGTGGGCTCAGGCGTTTTCAGTTGCACCGTCAAGAGCTGGGATCCGAATCGCGTGCCGGGGGGCTAGACGATAGGGATGCGCTGGATTCCAAGATTGGGCTTCTAGCTACTTTACGGATGATTAGGGCTGTTGGAGGTACACAAACCCTAAACCCTAAATAGTAGTTTCCATTTTCTTTTCCATTATCCCAATATATACCCTATATAATCCCCTATATAACCCCCCTTTAAGGACTTTAGACGAAAGCAAAGAAGGCGGATCATGTTTGCTCACTGCGGCCGTGATTGTTTTAGCCTAAGCATGGCTCCTTCCACCGAGGCAGAGAGTGATCGGAAGCGCCATTGCGAAATTGGTTTACTACTAGTACTATTATTACCAGTATTATTATTATTATTACTATTATTACAATTATTAGTATTACAATTATTTTTATTATGATTATTATTACTGTGTAGGGTTGGTGGCTGGAGGCAGCATTGAATGAATTCAGGTTTTTAGGGGAGGTGGCCTGCAACGACGAGTTTGACCACGAGTCAAGTTCACACACTGACACTTGTTCACCTAAAGTAGAGTTCTCCAAAAAAACTACACTCACAAAACTTCATCCCCTTTGTAGTAGCTTGAAACTTCCCTAGATGTCCAGCGCTGATTCTGCGCTATGTGCGCCACGTTTTCGGAGCTTCAGGATATGGAGAAGCATTGTTGCGGCTTCTCCTAAAGAAGCCTCATAGTTCAGAGCAGCTCTGGGCCTTCTTATGCTGGAGCCAGCCTGGAGCAGAGCTGATTCCCATTTCCAGCTTAGCTACGCAAGCATCGTAGGCCCTTGGAAGCTGGTTTGAGCTTCAGAGTCGAGCTTAGGGTTGCAGAGCGTAAGGCTTGCGAATTCTCACCTGACCCTTCAAGAATGGTCGCACTTAGGCTGCGGAAAACTGACGTGTTGCTGCTTCATGGTGAACCTTGTAGTAGGCATATAGGAACTCCCATAGTACTAAGCTCTATCCTCGCTAGAATCTCGTTATTGCAATACGTATATTATGGAAACTCTGTGGTATGACTCTAGTAGCCCCCAGCTCTATCCTTGCCAAACCTCCCTCGTTGGCGTAGGTAAAGGGCAACTCTATCCGCTAAGCCCTCCCTACCCCTACATCACCCTGTACACCTGTATACAACCCTGTCCACCCCCATGTAGGCCTACAGACCCTATCCAACTCCATACAACCCTACGGACCACCCATTAATCCGACCCCTGTGTGACCCCGTGATACCCTCTGGACCCTTATGTGGCCCTACACACCCCTAAAGAACCCTACACACCCCTCTGTCGACCCCTATATGGCTCCTAAACCCGAAGCACTGACCCCCAAACCCTTAAAGGCCCCACCCCTATATAGCCCTATAATCCCATCTCTATATAACCCCAACATATTACAGTAACCCTAAGAACCTCCCAAGATCAGAGAACCTCTGTACCTTTCTTGGGAGCGCGGAGCCCTGCCTGACCATGCTCTCCTTGGCTGCAGAGAAGTTCCACTGGAGGGGGACCAGGCCAGCCTCGCCGACACGAGAAAGCCTACTTTGAAAGGCGTGCTCTTAGATCGCTGCAGGGTGGTCACAGGGCAAGGTGCTCTTTTGAGAGCATTACTGTGGGGGCAAAACTTACAAACTTAGCTTTTCCTTCCAACATGTGCTTCAAAAAGGGCACCTTGGCTACAGGCACAGAATACCATACCAAATGAAAGCACCACCATGAATAGTATTCTGGGTTATTGCTAAGGAATTTTAATTTAGGTTACCAGACTGAGGGAACCGTACTATTTATCATATATATATATATACCCACTATGGTAGCTTCGAATAAGTTCCTTGGCAGCAGCCAAGTATTTTGAATAGGGTGCTTACCGACATAAAATGTGTCTAAGTCCTAAACCTTAAGTTATATTGTAGTTTCCAGCTTCTTTTCTATTATCCCTATATACCCCCATACATCCATATATACCCCTAGATATGTGTATATATGTGCACCCCAGATAGCATTGTATTTTTTACCTGTCATTTTGGGATGACTGATGATTTATGTTGTCCCCCACAGCTGTACAAGGGAACCTATTCAAAAACAAATCCGGGTTACCACCCAGAGTTCCCATTTTCTTTCCCATGATAAGCCCTCATCCCTGTGCCCCTAAACCGAATCAATAAACCCCTAATATGCGTAAACCCTAACCCCTAAAACCCCTGAACCCCAGACCCTAAACAGGTTGTCACCGCGCAACAGCTTATCAATTCGGGCCGGCGAATTTGCAGAACGTCCCGATGTCTGCCTCCTGTGCTTCCTGAATGGCACCCGGCTCGGAAAGATCTATCCCGGGCACGCGCTCGGCATGGATGCGGAGCTCCTGCTGTAAGCATGTTTTGGTTTGAAATGAGGGTACTCACAACAGGATCCTGGGGCATTGGTAGGGATCAGAAGGGAAAAATGCAGGTTTCAGGCCCACATTGTTAGGCTTCCTTCTCTGAAATGACATGGAGCCACGAATTAAACGTCTTGGGGCGCCTTATTGCAGTTGAAAGTGGCCGCATACCATCCCAAACTGCAACCCTGCTCATCTTTTTTTCAGAAAGGCGCCCGCCTCCTACAACCGAAAATTGAAGATCCTTGTTGCAGGGACCCCAAAAAAGGAAACACGACATTTTGAGAAACCCCTTCCAGCACCTACCTACGCAGCACTCTGCTCGCAGTCCTCCAGCCGCCTGGCAGAGGCACGACAGTGCGTACAGTATCCCTACTCAAGTATGATCACACATGGAACTCTTGGGTGGCTTTATGCATGGATTCCACTTCTCAGCGGGGCTCTAATATGGCATATTCGGAAAGCAATCCAGATTGTCTGACACTTACTGTAATCACTACTTGGCGCCTTTTGTTTGGCATGCAAATCCAGCTTTCAGAAAATCAGGGGCCCACAACCTTAACAAATCCTTGTTCAGTAATTGAAAGCAGGCACCTGCCCCAGACAGTACTTGACGGCCCATCGTAGAGGCCAGTTCTTCCCACAATAGCTAGAGCAAAAGGAGCTAGGCTCACCGACCTGGAGATACGTGACCAGCGATCCGTGGCAGCGGGCAAATTTACAACATAAACGGCAACCTCAGCGGGTAGTTACGGGTAGCTGTCAGAGGTGTGGCCCGGTTCGAGGAACCTTCTAGAGTGCTACTCCCAGTACGGTATCTGATTCTTGGAGGCGCCCAAGAACTGACCTGATCTGACAAGAGGTCAGGTTTATCGCCATGACTCATGCTGCTAGTGGGAGTTTGCTAGGAGCCTCATATTCCAGTGTCCAATCTTCCGACTACGATACCCTGGTTTGGTCAGTTATCACCACTTCGATTACGGCTGGATGTTCTGCCTTCGGATGCATTGAAGAGCTCCATACTCGAACCACTGGGATATCGGGATTGCTCACAAGAGCACATGCGTCGGGTGCCTTAAGGGGTCCGGGATGAGGTTTGGGCATACAGCCATCTTCTTCTGCTGCCCCCTTTCATATGAGGATCCCAGGATCCCATGATCCCCAGGAAGAAAAGGACACTCTTACTCCTAGCCTTCTACTTGAGGGGCAGAAAAAGGGAGCAGCATAATTGTTCTGAATCCCGAGCCCTAAAGACTCTTTTCTGTGTTTGGGGCCCCGTGGATCTACCTCAGAAGGCTTGACCATGGCGGAAGCACTGAGCCGCAGGCATGCTCGTGAAACCAGAAGTCAGCTTCGTGAGCTTCAATTTGATAATTTACATACCTGGTTGAGGGTTAAGGTCTAAGGTCGTAGAGTCTACTAAAACAAAGGTAATCATAATCTACATTAAGAGAATAGTAGTTTCCATTTTCTTTCCCTTTATCCCAATATAACCCCAACATAACCCTAATATTAGCCCAATATTACCCCAGTATTACCCCCAATACACTAGTGATAGCAGTAATGGAGCTGCCAAGGGCTCCAGGAGCCAAAATATGCATTTGGTAGTCAGGCGAGACCTAGATGGTGGCTGAAAAAATAAAGGGCCACACAGAAAGTATCTCCCAAGCTCTGTCGGGCTTTCTTCCAGTACTCCCAGGAAAATCCCTTTTTGGAACACAACCCCGATCAAGCACATGCTTTCGTTTACTACCCAGACCGCCCAAAAATGGAAGCCCGCCTCGAATAGCAGTGTTCTATCAAGCGAAAGAGAGGGTGGCTCTGGATGCATCAAGGTCTTACATTGTGCTTTCTCTCTCCATACCTTTACCCTCTGACGCAAACATCCGGAATAACGCCTCGGGCCTAGTTGTGTCTCGCAGATGAAGCAACATCTCTGGAACCATCGGAACCACAAAATGATCTTGAGCGACAGGCATGAAGCCTGTAGCCACAATACTTTGAATCTGGATGTTTGGCGGTCTCAGCACACCTTTTCACTTGCCTCAGTGAAACTTTCCCGCACTGCTTGGAATCATACTATTGCTTCCAGAGCTGTCATCTTCTTTGTCTACCGCCATCCACTGGTGGGCTACGAAGCTATGTCCCGCGCAGGCCGCCGCTCCAAACTGGTAGTGAGTCAGCAAACATACAATACACGCAGAACATGCTCCTGGCTACCAAGATTTAGACGTAGGCTGCCATGGGATGCGCATGTAGCCCCAATCTCCAGAATCAAGGAAGAATCCAAACATCAAACTGAAAGCCCTGAGCAACTCCAGGATGCTTCCTTGATCGAGCTTGTCTGGCTCCTTGGCCAAGTGTCCACTGCTGTCTTCCCCTGTGCACAACCGAGCGGCGTCTGCTCGTCTTGAACGCGGTCTTCGCGCTCGTCAGGCAGTACAATGCCTACGCAGTTTCGCTATGGCTAGCAAAGAAAAGGAATATCTGAGGAGCTCCCATTCTTTCAGGTCATCAACTCCGGCTGCATGAGGCAATGCAGTTGGAATCTAAAGGTAGGCCTAAGATATGGTATAACAGTACAGCCATAGTAAGACTTCGAAGGAAGTGTCTGAATTTGTCAGGGAATCATGCAGGCTCCTGTGTCAACAGCTTCAGGTTGACCTAGGATTTCCGCGAAGCAACATTGCTGGCCTTTTGGCGGCTTGTCCGGCTCGAGCGATGCGCCTTGGAGAATGAATTTACAAGGGTCCCAGCTGCCTGAACCACTGTACAACTTGTAGCATGTGATGCTGTCGTCGTACTAGCAGCAGTAGCAGCAGCAGCAGCAGCAATTAGCAGCAATACAAACAGCAACAAGAGCAACCAAAGGAGGAGGAGGAGGATTAGAGGAAGGCTAAGTTGGCTTCGTCCAAGGCTGCGTTATCAGAGAAAACCGGGCCCAAGCCAGACTCGTGCAATGACACAAAGAGTCAAGCTTTCAAGAGCCCCTACCACGATAAGCAGTTGCAAGTTAGGCGTGAGTAAGTTTCTGAGCGCTCCGTAATAGTTCCCGTACAAACCCCAAGAATTTGGTAGCTCTTTTCTATTCCTCCAATCCCTAATCCGTAAACCCTACGTGTTTTTCAGATCTGCAGCGCTGTGTTGCTGGCGAGGAACCCAGCTCTGGCACATCGCAGCGCTCGGAATCCTTGTGCGCCGTGGCCAGGCTTCGGCTGCGATATGCAAAAGCTAACCCTACCGTACCCAGCTTCAGGGAAGCAGGCGTTTTGGGGGGGGACCACTGTTCAACGGATCCTGACATTTTGGGAGTATTAGCTATGAAAAGCCCGCAGTTCTCGAAAAGCATATGTCCCACAACTTGCCTCCAAATCCCTACACAGCCCCTGTAACAACAACACCAACGACGAATTCCTTCATTCCCTAGCAGCAAGAGGCAAGAGAACCGTCCTGTAACCCCGGGAGGATGGCTTCGCCAAGTTCCGGAGCTTCCCTCAGATGGGAGTTTCCTTGCTTCTGAGTTGTGGAGCATTCAGGAAGGGATCCATCCCTACAAACATCTCAACATGGCACCCATTCCTTAATCTCCACAATCCAGAAACAAGCCTCTGGAATCACTTGGGAAGCCAGCTCAGGATTTTCAGGATTACTTGGGGACTACAGGAAGGATTGCAGAGAAGATAATTTGAGACACTGTCAGATAGCACAAGCTCTGAACTGTGCAGCAGGCTGCAAGACGCGGAAACCGACGAGGACAGTTGCAACCACATTTTCTCTTATCATAATTACTAAAAAACTATAGTAATACTAATCAAGATAAATGCGAAGTGCTAGCTAGAGTCATACTACTCGAAGTTTTTGATTGCAGTAGCCGGGACACCTGTCATGCGCCGCCTTCCGCTGTGCATCCTCCCAAGCAAGCTGAGATGTCTTCTGCGCTTGTCTAAACTGTGATGCTGCTGAAAGGTCTGCAAACTGATCGTGTGTATATATATATATGTACCTGACATCACGTATGTACATTGGAGAGGCTAGTTTTGGCACATATCCCGCTCAAAGTTGCTCAAGTCCATGTTCATGGCATCTTCTGCACGTGCCCTCCCCGGATTGTATGACTGTGCATTCCCAGAAGTTCATGTCGTGTCTCCTCCCATGAGTGATGCCCATAGCACGCGTGGCGCTTCATTGCCTGACACAAAGAGCACTGCCAGAAGCAAGGTGGCACCCAAATTGCTAGTATTTCAGCACCAATGATGGCCCTCTTATATTATGACTTGTTCAAAGGGGAGGAGAGTTCAGGCATAAGGATAATTTTGAAAGGTGCCCAAACATCCTTGCCTTCTTGAATCGCTCAGCAGCCCGCCTCCCAACACCAGTTCCGGCCCTCCCAGACCCAGGAGCCCTCCAAGGGCGTTTGTGTTTCGCCTTAGGGCAGGGCTGGAGATAGAGAGGCAACAACACGTGCTCGTCCGTGCAGTGGATTCAATTGAGAGATCATGCTGATGATTTCTCTTCGCACCATGTTTTCAGGTGCCAAGTCGCATCTTTCCAAGACGCTTGAAGGCAAATGTCTCGCGAAAGAGCGTGCCGTTCCTGGTCCAGCTGGCTTCTGCAAGAGTTCACTGCTCATGCTTTTGAACCCAAGAAGCTTTGCAAAGCCTTGCGCTTCACTGCAGTCCTGGGTAGATGTTCGTGGAGCTCCAGCTGCAGAAGCCCCTTGCCCAATCCTCATTGCCGGGGCGCCTGAAAATGCGGAAGTCAACTCAAACACGGCGACATGGACGCAAGGCGATGCCTTGATGCGAATTCGGAGGGTCTCTCAAGTCAGGGCGTGGTTTGTACACATAATAAGAATGATACTAGTAATACTACTAGTAATACTAATAGAAATACTCTTAGTACCTAATAGTAAAACTGATAGTAGTAATAACAACAGTAGTAGTAATAGTAATAATAATAGAAATAGTAATAGTAATAGATAGTAATAGTAATAATAATAGTCATGGTAATAGTAATAGTAATAGTAGTAGTACTAGTAATAGTAATACGAGCCCGGAGCTTGGCCTGCTTGGATCTGCGGCCGTTTCAGCCGCCAGCAGCCTTGTACCAAAGAATCCGTACCGCTAGGATATTGGGGTAAAAATATAACCCTAATATAACCCTGATATAACCCTAATATTATCCTAACACTACCCTAACATAACCCCAATACAACCCCGATATTCGCCACTATAACCCTAATATTACCCCAATGGGTGAAATGGGTCATGAGAATCCCAGTCAAGCAAATGGAAAGAAGATGCGTGCACTCCGGCATTGCTTTTGGATGGTCAAGCAACAAGATGCAGCTGCAGCAGGTTGAAGCACGCACCACATGGCCACTCATGCCATGTGGCGAAAATACTAATGTGTTTTGCAAGTATGTTTGGCTGCTGGTGCGTGTGGCCAATTTTGGAGGCACAGAAAGATGCTTTGCACGTGAACATGCATGAGGAACTTGTTGGCGAATGTCTGATCTTCCTGAATACTGAGTAGCTGCTGAGTTTTGAATACCTCATGGTCGGCTGGCAGGAAAGCAGTTGCACAAACCAACACATAAATTGTACAATCTTGTGGCGCGCGCGTGCTTGCGCTTCAGCTGCCACACGTGTGCAGGGCAAACAAATTGTAAGAGCATCTTTTCCATTTGTGAATCTGCTGGCTGGTAATTAGTCCGCAGCTGGCAGGTGACACACGT